AAGAAAAATTAACTCAGAAGAAATTCACCCCAGGTACACTTTTAAGAGTCTTGAAATGTGACTCATCTTTCTTCACTTCAAATTGACCCCAGAGCTGTGAGAACACCCCATCCTAGTGAGAACAAGAATTATCAGACTGCCTTTTCCTTTGCTCTTCTATTTCTGATGTCTTAAGGTAGAACCTTAGGTGATTGATTTTAGACCTTTCTTCTTTTCTAATATATATATTCAGAGCTATCAATTTCCCTCTCATCAGTGCTTTAGCTGCATCTCATCATTTTGGATATGCTGTATGCTCACTATCATTCAGTTTGAAATATTATCTAATTTCTCTTCTGATTAATTATTTTACCCATATACTATTTAGAAGTATATTGTTTAATTTCCAAATATTTTGTGTTTTTCTAGATGTCATATCATTATTGATTTCATTTTCATTTCATTTTTGAATTCCACTGTTGTCAGAGAACATACTCTATATGATCTCTTCTTTTTTTTTTTTTTTTTTTTTTGCGGTACGCGGGCCTCTCACTGTTGTGGCCTCTCCCCTTGCGGAGCACAGGCTCTGGACGCGCAGGCTCAGCGGCCATGGCTCACGGGCCCAGCCGCTCCGCGGCATGTGGGATCTTCCCAGACCGGGGCACGAACCCGTGTCCCCTGCATCGGCAGGCGGACTCTCAACCACTGCGCCACCAGGGAAGCCCTATGATCTCTTCTTGTAAATTTATTGAGACTTGTTCTATGCCCCAGCATATGCTCTGTGTTGGTGAATGTATTTTGTGGACTTGAATGTATGTTCTGAAGTTGTTTTAAGATAGCAATAATAAATTCAATAATGTTAACATATATAACATAAGATATGATGTTAACATAATAAAGTTTAAAAAAACCCACACCAAATTTAGTGAGTAGAGTGGCATTGCTTTACATTTTTGCAAATCTCTTTAATGTTAGGCTTAATAGGAGATAGCTGGAGCTGGCTTTCAATCTGTTGTAACATCACGTATCTTGTAACCTCTAGAAAACTCTGCTGTATGCTTATAAGTGAATAAGAGAAAAAAAGGTAAATAAGGTCCTATGACTTTATGAAAATAGTTCTGGCTTGGTGGACCTCCTATAAGGGTCTTAGGAACCCTTCAGGGATCCCTGGTTCACACTTTAAGAATCACTGATATATCTTTATTGATTTTTTTGCCTAATTGTTCTATCAGATGCTGAAAGAGAGGTATCAAAATCTCCTATAGTATTGTGTAATTTTCCAATTATATACGTAAATATTTCGTTTATGTATTTTTGAAGCTTTGTTATTAGATGCATATACATTTAGAATTATTATGTCATTCTGATTGATTGACGCCTTAATACTTATGGAATATGTTTCTTGAGCTCTGGTAACACTCTTTGCCTTAAAGTCTACTTTATCAGATATTAGTATTACTCCTCCAGCCTTCTTATTCTAGTTTTAAATAGAAACATATTTTTATCCATGCTTTTTAAAATTTGAAATGTAGACAGCATATAGTTGAGTCCAGCTTTTTTATTTATTCTGACAATCTTTGCTTTTAATTAAGGTGTTTAGTCCATTAATATTTAATGTAATAGCAATTGAGGTCCCCATGTTAATATTTATTTTGTTTTGTCCCTTTTCAGTATTTGTTCCTCTGTTCTTCCTTTTAATTGTTTAAATTTTTTAAGATTCTATTTTAATTTAACTACTTAAGCTTTCCTCCTACCTTGCCCTGTCAGTGTTTTCTGTACCCGGAGACTAGCACATTGCTTGAATCATAGCAGGTGTTGAGTAAATGTTGGGGGGATAATTCTAGCAGCTCTTCTTCAGATCTGAATCCATCCCAGACTGACCCGAAAGAAAGGAAGGCCCTCCTGCTACATTAGGGAGCAGGACATTTCAGGTTGTTATTTCTACCCAAGGCCATTGACTGGTTGACAGTATTGATGATCCTATTCTGGGGTTTTCTGTTTCCTACTTGTAAGGTTGGATTTCGATTCTGGTTTGGGTTTGTCCCCATCGTGCAATGTCAGTCAGTTCAGTCTCATTTATCAAGTGCACCCATCAGAAACACAGACTACTGATCTCTGTCTGTGCAAGGGAAGTCTCAGCTCCCTCCAGTGGAACAGACAGTTGCCTCAAGTCTCCTGGCGTCCTTCCCAGAAACTTCTCCAATTTGCCAGGAGAGACCTAAGTGGGTCACATAAGGAGGCTGGGCCTGGTGTTGGGATCCCCGCCACCTCCCTGTGGGTGTCAGGATTCCGAGGTGGCTCTCCAGATTATTCTGCTATGTTCCTTACCTGCTCAGTCCCCCGCAGTCACGTTAGAGCCATATTTCTAAGTTCTCTTCTAGTTCTGGGCTTTCCTGGCTGTCTAGGGTTGCTTTAGTGTGTCCTTAGTTGCTTTTGTGCGTCCATAGAGCAGGGCCTCGGTCAGTGTGACATGGCCCTCAGAGGCCTGCCGGGAACTTGACCAAGACCTGCTGACTGACGCTCTCATCTTCTTGACTCAGCCCCAGTAAGGACCGTGGGATGTTCCAAAAGCCTATTGGTGGGGGTAGGAATGCCAGCATCTAGGATGGTGATTGCCTGTGAAGGGCGGGATGGGGATGCCGGCAGGGGAGGGTGTACAGGTGCTTAACTGTGGAAATGTTTACTTTCTTAAGCTGGCTTCTTGATACACAGGTGTTCCTTGTATCATCCTTTCTATCAATACTTGCCGAGGTCTTAAGGATTATATAACAGATTTTTTGAAAAGGCCTCGTCAGTGAGGCCTCATTACCTTATTCCTGCCATCGATGAGACGCCTGACAGCTGGTGTGGAGAGAAGCTGCCTCCCTCTCTTGAGAGAATCTTGCTGCTTTCGTGTCCCCAGTGGCCCTGGACACTCTGTCTCTCTCCCTCTTCCGGCTGGTCGGCTGAGCTCACAGTGACCCAACCTGGACAAACATGTTAGGCCCCTTCAGCACCTGGAGAAACCAACCCTGCTTCCCCGAGGAGAGGCTGCTGCGCTCAGCCCCGCGGAGCAGGGCCTTCCTGATGAGGCTTTGTCCTGTGAGGTTGGGGCTGAGAGCTGCTCCATCAGCCTTTGATCCCATCCTGTAACCCATTGACCGTGAGGACTGGCTCTCACCTGGAGCTGATGGTGCCGGGCAGCTTCCTGAGTATTTTCTGTATCATTGCTTATTTAACGTCACAGCAGCCACTGAGGCAGGTGCCGTGATTCTCCCATTTTACACCTGGGGAAGCTGAGGCATAGGAGAGTGAGGTGATTTGCCCGAGTTCACCCACCTTTTAAACGGCGAGGACACACTTCAGACCAGGCGGGGTGGCTCTAAGCCGGACCCCGCGTGGGGAGAGGAGGGCTGGGCGGGCAGGGAGGCCATGGGCTGGCTCCTCCTCAGCTGTACCCCGAGCTTCCGTCTCCCCACTCCCCAAGGGGAGCTCAGAGTCGGGGGGCCAGGGGACGGAGCCCACTCATCTTTGGGCGCCATGGCTGTGGAACCCTGACTGGTCACTTGTCAGCTGTGTCCCCTCCAGGGTTTTGCCTCCAGAACAGGTGAGTGCAGTTCTGCCGGGCTCCCTGCTGGACCCGGGGAGGTCATGGTCGTGGGTGTCCTGTCCCCTCCTCCAGCTCAGTTTGCCCAGCTGGCCCAGCTGAACCCCCAGGAGCGTCTGAGCCGGGAGACGGCCCTCCAGCAGAAGCAGGTGTCCCTGGAGGCCTGGCTGCAGCGCGAGGCCCAGACGCTGCAGCAGTACCGCGTGGTGAGTGGGCTCTGCGTCCCTCGCCTCCTGGGCGTGGAGGTGACACCCCGAGCCGAGCTGTCCCGGGGACCTGAGGGAGGCAGAGAGCCAGGAGGAGAGCGGGACCCAGCAGAGCAGGAGGCCAGAGCCTTCCCCCCTGTGTGGGCACGCAGGGCAGAGCGGGTCGGCAAGGGGTGAGGGGAGGCCCTGCGGCGTGTTCTGAGAGCCCAGAAGGGCCGCTCCCCCGCCGCCCGCCCCGCAGGAGCTGGCCGAGAAGCACCAGAAGACCCTGCAGCTGCTGCGGAAGCAGCAGACCATCATCCTGGATGACGAGCTGATCCAGTGGAAGCGGCGGCAGCAGCTGGCGGGGAACGGAGGCCCCCCCGAGGGCAGCCTGGACGTGCTACAATCCTGGTAATGGGTGTGGGGGGCCAGGTGGGGGCGGCAGGGGCTCAGCGTGGTGCCACCAGATGCTGCCCTGCTCCTGTGTTTACGTGAGCAGCCGGCTCCCTCTGTCGGGGCACAGGTCTTATTTCACCAGTGGTCTGGTTCCTGATGCAGACCTTGGTGCCCCCGTCCTGTGCCACCTTCCCCGGGAGGGGCGTCCCTGGGTGAGGGAGTGGGGTGGGGCCAGGTGTGCAGAGCGACGCTCAGGCTGGTTGGACCCAAGTCAGGGTCGCTCCTCCTGTGAGTTTCTTTGTGTTTCTGGAAGGCAGGGCAGCCGTGCTCCGCTCAGTGGGCAGGCCAGGCGGCTAAGGCGCGGAGCCTTCCTGGGGGTGGAGCTGGGTCTGGGCCTTCTCCCCAGCCTGGGAGCCTTCTGGCTTCTGGCCTGGAGGAAGCGGGTGAAGGCTTTGTCCTTCCCTTTGGCCTCGGGGCTCCTGTGCAGGTGTGAGAAGTTGGCGGAGATCATCTGGCAGAACCGGCAGCAGATCCGCAGAGCTGAGCACCTCTGCCAGCAGCTGCCCATCCCCGGCCCCGTGGAGGAGATGCTGGCTGAGGTCAACGCCACCATCACAGACATCATCTCAGCCCTGGTGACCAGGTGATTGCTGCCTCTTGGCCACGCCCAGGCCCCATCCGGTTGGCCGGGGTCGCGGGCAGCAGGATCTTTACAGACGGGGCGCTCTGGCTTAAACCCTTCCGTCTCTGCCTCACACCCTCATCCCATCCCCCTCTGCCGCCTGTTGCTGTGGCCTCTTGCTGTTCACCTTGCCCAGTTTCTCTCGTGGACACTGTATGGGCTTGTTCCCTGCAGCCCGTTTCAGCTGTTGAGTTCATCTCACTGCCTCCCCTCCTGCCAGCTCCCCCGACTCGAAGTGGCCCCCCCGGGACCGGGGGCTGTGCCACAAGCCCTTCCTTCGCCTGCTGTGCCCCGCGCAAGGTGGCCTCGCCACGCGGAGGGAGGGACCGGAGCGCTGTCCCCTGAGTCGTCACCTGGTCACTTGTGTCCCCGCAGCACGTTCATCATCGAGAAGCAGCCCCCTCAGGTCCTGAAGACCCAGACCAAGTTCGCAGCCACCGTGCGCCTGCTGGTGGGCGGGAAGCTGAACGTGCACATGAACCCCCCCCAGGTGAAGGCGACCATCATCAGTGAGCAGCAGGCCAAGTCGCTGCTCAAGAACGAGAACACCCGCAAGTACGTTGCCCTGCTCCCATCTGCCCCTCCCTCAGCTCTGCCTCTGTTCTACAGCGGGCGTCCTGGGTGATGGGGACAGCATGGCCTCCCCCTCTGAAACCCTTTGTCCTGCATTGCGAGGTGGCCCCGTGTCGCTCCAGTTCACTCTGTCTGTCCTGGCGTACACTTCGCACGCATAGTAAATCAACAAGGATTTCGCTGCTGGGTGTCCCAGGACCTGTGCTGAGCACTGAGACACAGCTGTGATCCACACAGAACTTGGCTCTGTCCCTGCCCAACCTCGAGACAGAAAATTAAAATAAAGCAATATCACAGCGCCTGCAGTACATGGGTAGTCAAGGAGGGCCTTTCTGAGGATATATTTGAGTGGAGACCTGAATGAGAAGGTCAAGAGTGTTTGGGGAGGGCTTCCCTGGTGGCGCAGTGGTTGAGAGTCCGCCTGCCAATGCAGGGGACGCGGGTTC